GAGGACAGTTAGCCCAGTGATTGATGCTTCCGCTTCTGTGACAGATTAAAATGTCAGATAAACTGTACAAGGCAGTCCTGCACATTCTCCCACACAGGTGACTCCCTGGGACTGTCCTGAGAGTTGGGAGAGGCTGGTGCGTACATGTGCCCAGGCCCAGAACATTTCTCAGCATTTCCTGAAGCCATGTGAACTTTGCCCCTCATCATGATCACAGTTCACATGACAGATCTCTGGCGCACTGTGGCTCCTCACTCCCAGACTGGGATTAACTCTGGATTGCCTTAGTCTTTTGAGGGTGAAATCAAGATTATTACTCTCAGAGATAGAACTTATTGGAAAAGTCCCCAGGGATCCCTACTGTATTGGCTTCAGAGCAGTTTGTCTCAGGTAGCTTGTATTACTCTTGCTCCTCTTTCTGTTTGATCTTTTATTCATCTACCTTAACCGTCTCGTTATCTTTCTATGTTTTTTATGAGGGCAGTTGAGAATGGGTTTTGTTTTCTTAAATTGGAAGCTTATTTTGCTTTACTTAAGGAAACCACTTAGGAGGTGTTATAGAATACACTTTCCATTTTCTTCACTGCCCTACTGACATACACTATAAAGGAGCAGGGTGTGTAGTGGACACGGAGCATTCTAGAAATTATAGTAGGTAGCTGTGCCCTTCTGATTATTAAAGAGAACAAGAACTGAGGACTGGAGTAGGAAAGCAGCAAGAAACAATGCCTGTCACCAGCATTATTTGTGCAGATGGCTGTATCTACTGGGGAGAGCTAATTCCTGGAAAGGTCAAGGAAATTACTTAAGGTAATACAGTAATTAAATGTAGTGCTTACTGTGTGCTAGGCACTGCGATCTGAACTCAGTTTATCAAGAGGTAGAGATAGTATTTGACCTGGGGCTTTCTTGTTGTTGAGTGCCATCGCTTTACCCCATACCTAAACTGTGCTGCCTTTTACCTTGCTGGGGGAAGAACCCAAAATGTTGCCATTGTACGTATCACAGTATCCCAAGTGGTCATTCAGTAAGTGTTTGCCTAATGTTAGTTAGGCAGTGAAGACAGAAGAATGAAAGGTGTATTTGCTGATGGGTGTCAGATGGTAATTCATTTACAGATTACAAGGCTTTCCATATATTAACTCATTTCATCACAACCTTCAGAATACCTGGCAGAAATGGCCAGTGACCGCACTTAAGTAGCTATAACTGTAGCGTTCTATCTTCCTTTACTTTAGATTTGAGTCCTCAGGGTGATCTCCAAGAAAATCTGAAAGGTATGTGATTTTTAAAGGCTACCTTAGTAAGAATGTCTTCTGTTTACAGCATTGCAAATGTTATAGCCAACCTCAGCTGCTGCAGTCAGAATCCACCTTGTCAGTCAGTTTTACTTTTACTACCTCCTGCCAATTCTCATGTTAGAAAACAAAACCAAAAGAAAATAGAGTAGCGTGCAAAGATGCTTGTAATTTTTCAGCTAAATCTAGTTGGAGACAATGCACCTAAGGCTTTTTATGCCCTCGACTGGTTCAGCGGAGCAGACTACTGAGCAGGCAATGTCTGCCAGCACCGTGGGATCTGGCGACTGGCTCCTGGGCAGGCACTGCAGGGCCTCCTGCACCCGGCCAGCCTGTGTGCTGAAGTGCTTAAAGGTCATGTGACACACTGTGTGACCCTGCACACATTCCCTACTCAGCTAAGGTAAATATTGTGTTTGGAAATCTGTGTGCACAGAGGTGAAATTGTGCAGAAGTTTGGGGTTACTTGTCAACAAATATTTATTAAAAGAAGGAAGCCTGAAAGCCATTATTAGACAGTAAATAAGCAGGCCTTTTCCAGGGTTGACCCTGAAGTCACTGTAGATTGTTTTCTCTCTTTCCCCTCACATATTCTTGACCCAGAGTTCTTGAACACCTTTCCTTACCCGTTTTTTGTCTTCTGCTCTCGTGTGCTGCCCCACTCATTGAGGTCTTTGCCGGTGCACACGGCCACCTTCCGTGCAGCCTCACAGGAGCATCTTTAGAAACTTAGAGCACTCTTCTCTTATTTGACAGAACCCACCCTACTGTGAAGTAAAACCAAGCAACATGTTTTGGAATAATCATCCCCCCCACCTCCGCTTTTAATCACTAGTTTCAACTTTTGTAACAAACTAAAATCATTTAGGTTGTAATTAGTTAGCTTTCAGGTAAATTGAAATTCTAGTATACTCTGGGTGAAGTAACCAGTTAGTTTGCAGTCATTATAGAGGTTAAAAAAAAAGAAATAGAAAATTAGTGCCTTAGTATTGAAATTAATATTGAGTTGCACTATAGGTGATTATTAACTGTTTGAATTAGGTTGACTTTTTCTTTTGTCGATGGAAACATTTTTGTCCAGATTGTAAGAATATATACTAATAAAAGTGTTTGAATTCTTATTCACAATTGATTTCTTTTTCCTAAATTGATTGTCAGTTATACTGTGGTTAGGAGGATAGTTATGGCATAATTGAATAGCATAATGAAATTTAGAAGATCTGACTTTTAATTTATTAGATTTCTTCTATTTACTATCAAGGAGTCCCTGAGTGGCATAAACGGTTAAGCACTTAGCTTGCTAACTGAAGGGTTGGCAGTTCGAACCCACCCAGAGGCGCCTTGAAAGATAAGCCTGGCAATCTGCTTCCGAAAGGTCACAGCCATGAAAACCCTACGTAGCAGTTCTACTCTGTAGCACGTGGGGTTGCCATGAGTCAGAATTGACTCAGTGGCAACCGTTTTTGGTTTTTTATTTACTAGCTGTGTGACAATAGGCAAGTGAACCACTCTGAACCTAGTTTCTCAACTGTATGTTCGGTCACTGTACTTCTCCCTCCCTTACTGGGGTTGTAGGGTTCCAAGTGAGGTCGTGACTGACAGCGTAAGTTGGCAAAACCAATTTGATGTATTAAGGGTACGTGCACTTTGACAAAGATATCTGTATGGGAACGTTCATGGCAGTGTATAAGAGAAAAAACTGGACAGTTTAATGTCCGTGACTAAAGGACTAATTAAATAAGGTAAATGAGTGCCATAGATACGGAAAGATACCACATACTGTCAATAAAAACAAGTCACAAAAAGCAAGTTTAGTAAGACCGCATTTCTATTTTTAAAAGAATCTATCATCAGAGAAGATCTGGAGAGATAATCTGAAACTGTTACTGGTCACCTGGAAAGTGAGATTTAGGGGAGAGAGGGAATAAGGTGTAGTGGCGGTTTTATTTATAATTCATATGTAAAGACAGATCATACATGACTATAAGGTAGTGCTATTGACTGTTTTTGTTAGTTGCCAGCAAGTCAATTCAGACTCACAGCAACCCCATGCAACAGCGTAGACCTGCCCCTTAGGATTTTCTTGACTAATCTTCATGGGAGCAGATCACCAGGTCTTGCTTCTTCAGAACTGCTGGGTGGGTTCGAACCCAGAACCTTTTGGTTAGTAGCCAAATGTGTAGCCAGAGCACCACCAGCGGTATGCCTGGGAAGAAAGACTAGAAAACCCTTAGGGAGGAAGTAGATTCACCTTTGTGGATGGCATCTTCTCCTGGGCCTGAGCCAGTCTTTTCTGTGGTGTTTTCCTTAGTGCTTGACAGCTAGCTCTTGCCCCTTATGTCGAAATTATCTACCTGTGCCTAGCTCCCCTACTAGACTCTTAAATTCCTGAGGGCCCAGCCATGCCGCCTCTTTTATAACCCCAGTACCTCGCCTAGAACATATTGATTGTAAATAGATACTTGTTGAACTGAAACATTTGTTCAAATAAATTTATGATTAGTTCTGCCTATGCTGAACTAAAATGTTCTCTTCATTTTGTCCCTTCCCCCTGTTATAACTTGGGGCTGCTTGTCCATCACTGTCTATGTAGTAGTACACCCAATGCTTCCTAACCCTGAAGTTCTTTGAGAGTTCTTTTGTGGCAATAATAGCTTCATTATTGGGCCTCACCTTGTATTGCTAGGCTTTTTTTAAAGAGCCATTGCCTTTATTTATTTTAACTTTTTATTATGGAAATCACACACGAAAGTAAAGAGAATACTGTGAACTCTTATGTAACTATCTCCTACTCTAAATTATTAACATTTTGCTGATTTTATTTCATAGGTCTTTCCCCTTGCTCTTCTTTCTTGGAGTATTTTAAAGCCCATACTGGGCATTGTGTCATGTCTCCATAAACACTGTAATATGATAAGGACTAAAAAAAAAAAAATACCATTTTCACATCTGACAAAATTAGAAATAATTTCTTTACAACACCTAAAACCCAGTTGTAAGGCACTTTTCCCTCATTACCATTGCAAGGTGCTTTTTAACTTTTTAGGTTAATACACTAACTGCAAGGTAGTAGTGTTCTGACTTCACAGATGGAACTCTGAATCTCAGAGCAGCTTAGTGTTTTGTTCAGGGCTGCAAGCTGGTGAGCTGAGTGATAAGGTCCTTAGGAGCTCAGGACTCAGTGATGGACAGCTTATACAAAATTTGGAATTCATCTCTAAGATTTTTTTTTTAATACATAAAAATAGCATACTTGTTCTTTAGCCTCAGCTAAGACTAAAAATGAACCCTGATTTCATTTTCTTTTTATTTCTAAATAATTATTTTTCGAAGTACGAAAGTAATACTTGTTTGTTGTAGAAAATTGAAGTAGAGTCAAGTTTTGTTTTTTTTTTAAGTAAGAAAATAATTGTAATATCTAGAGGCAACTACTTTTAATATCTGAGTATATTCTTCCAGCCATTTCTCGGTGGGCTTTATATATGCAGGATCCTTGATGAGATCCTTTTATATGATGCTATTTTGTTACCTTCTATTCTCTATTCTTAGTCTTGTGCATGGCAGGCTTGAAATATATATGTGTATATGTATATATGTATCTGCATATATATGTGTGTATATATATCAATCAATGTCAGTTCCAGCAGACATAGACTGCTCTGTTCCTCAGTCTGTTTACTGGTCTCTGGTCTTGTTTTTCAGTGGACGAATACATTGCCATTGCTAAAGAGAAGCATGGGTACAACATGGAGCAGGTAATGACATGATTTTCTTTTATTAACAATGGGTTTTTGTAGCCAACCCATTAATTTTTTTTCTTTTCTGTGTTGAGTAGCAATGTTTCCTCGTTAGCAATATTTTGGTGGTTACTAGCAGTGTTACACAAGGAAGCTCTGGTCACTTTTGCTGTTTGAGGTGAGTATTTGAGGTCTCTGTGATTCGATCTGCGGGTCTGCAGCAGTTTGGGCAGTTGCCGTTGAAGGGGCACCACACTGTCTAATTGTGATGTGCTTGCCATTCTTCTGATTGTGTGATTTTTTTTTTTCCCCCCGAGCCATATTATCCGAGTCAGACCTACAGTGTTTTAATATTCATTATTCTGAATCACTTTCAGGTTGTAAAAAATTGGACTAAGTGTAAAAAAAAAAAAATTGGAGCCTATTGATGAGAAATCCACAAAATTTATTTTTCTCCCAAAATGTGATGACATCTTATTTCGGCCTTATTTCTAACTATTTCAAGCATATTTAATGGGATTTGTGTTTTCCATGGCATTGATCTAGGTCCTACAGCCTGTACGTTACTATCATTTCTCATTCAGCCCAAGGCCAGAAGGCATGACTATTTTAGGTTGTATCAATTGTACTCTTTCTTCCATCCCTGGCCTTACTTTTAATTATTCTGCCCTGGTCATTAAAGGCACTTTAAGAAAAACCAGGAACAATAAAATATTCCTAGAATCTTTCAAAGCAAGAAATGTATGCTTCTCTTTTTCTAAATCCTGAACATCAACTTCACTAGATTGCTCAGAAAATCCTCGATTTTAAATTCTATTTAGAAAGTATAATTATTATTTGGTGTTTGCAAAATATACTTGTTTGAATTCTTAAGGAATTTAGTCTTCAAAAGTATGATCATTTTTACTTTAGAATTGTAATATGGGAAATTTTCTCAGGAAAGTGTTCCTGAATTCTCTCTCTTTTGTTTCTGATTTGTTCCTTACCCATTTGTATATTTTTTCCTTCGTGAGCTGAAAAGATGTATAATGGTTTATAAACGACTTTCTCCTTTCATAGACAGAGGCATTAGTATGTGCATGTTAAGGGTACAGATTCTGGGGCCACTCTGCTTGGATTTGGATCCTGCTTCAGCCACTTACCTGCAAGTTAGTTAGTAATATCTCAGGGCCTCGATATTCTGATTTGAGAAGTGGGAATAACAGAGCTTGCCTCTCAGGGCTTGTGAAATAAATGAGTTATGTACAAAAAGCTGTATAACCATGTCTACCATTTAGCACCATGTATGAGTTAGCTCTTTATTACTTCATCTGGATGTAAAGAAGTGCATGCTCTTCTTTTGTCACCTTCATTCCATTTTAATATTTCATCAAGTCTTTTGTTTGCTCTAAAATTTCACTGGTATTGTTTTTCTAGGCTCTTGGGATGCTATTTTGGCATAAGCATAATATTGAAAAATCATTGGCTGATTTGCCCAACTTTACCCCCTTCCCAGATGAGTGGACTGTGGAAGATAAAGTCTTGTTTGAACAAGCCTTTAGTTTTCATGGGAAGACTTTTCATAGAATCCAACAAATGGTAAGTACATTAGCCCATTCTCCTCTTCCGCCCAGTCCAGGCTCACTACTCTGCAGCACACCTGAGAGATGGGGTATCACTCTCAAGTATGGGTATCCCCATTGTTAGTGAAGCTCCCCTTAGAAAAAGCAGCTCATTCTAGAAAGCTGTTTGGTAGACTCTTACCATCAAAACTTACTGACATTTGCAGTAAGTATTAAAGTGAATTTTTTTTTTTAAGTAAACCAAAAGTGTTAAGAATACTGTGTATATGAAAAACTCTGATTCATTTTGAGATACAATCTTTCATGGGATAAGTTTCACTTACAGTCAAACTTCAGTAATTTGAAAATGTATTGATAAAGATTCTTTTATTAGATTTAAAAAAAGGGGGGGTTGACTTATTTCTGAATATGTGAGTGACCTTTATGAAATGTATCTAAACACACCTAATTTTTAAAGACTAGCTTTAAATCTTAAACCAACTCATTTTTTATATTAGCTTCCTGATAAATCTATTGCAAGTCTGGTGAAATTTTACTACTCCTGGAAGAAGACGAGGACTAAAACCAGCGTGATGGATCGCCATGCTCGGAAACAAAAACGGGAGCGAGAGGAAAGGTCAGTGTCAGCGGGGCTGTTGTCTCACCACTTAGGGGAATCTTTGAGTTGCTAGAATTTGTAGGAGCTGGAGGATACACTAGAATTCCTAGGAAAGACCGAATGACTGCATTTCTCCCAATAACTTCTGGTGGAATAAAAATTTACAGATGTCCATCCATGATATGTATTAAAGCTCTGTGTTCATGAACTGTGTTAAATCCTGAGTGTTAGTCTTCACGTGCTTTTTCTCACGACTCTCTGCCTGCAGTCAGGGAACTTCCATTTCAAATGAGTACACTTTCCCAGATACTCCCCTGCCCCTTAGGGGTCTTAGTGTGTCTCCTTTTAATAAAAAGGCATCTTTTATTTTCTTAGTTGAAATTTATTTGATATGTTTATATAAGACTTATTCGACATGTTTTTATGTTTGGTATGTAAAAAACAAACAAAAAAACCCTGACAACACAGTTTAAATTTTCTTCTCCCCTTTTTAGCCATCTGTTTTGTGTCTGTGTGTGTGAGAGAGAGAAACGTTTGATAATTCCTTAGCAAGTATGATAGACAGTCTTTCAGGATTGCTTCGTGAGTGGGATATTTCTTAACCATCACTTTCTCAGTCCTGTATACAGCACAGAGTAGTGGAAATGGCTGTGTACTCACGTTCAGAAGTGGGGTGGGGTCGGTGTGTAGTGCAGTGGATGTGCACCTGGGCACGCGGCTAACTCTGAAGGTTCTGTTTAACACACTCACGGGCAAGCTGGTTGGCCTCTGCTTCCTCATCTCTAAAGTGAAGGTGCTGGAAGTCCAGAAGGCAGTACACAAAGATGTCATGGCTTTTGTGTTAGGATGCTGGGAATATAGGTGACTTTTAAAAATTATATTTTCCACATTTTCTATTTTATTTTTATAAATTAATAGTATGAAATAAAATGAGGAAGGATGTACTAGACGATATCAAGGTGCTTTCCCAGGACAGTATTTTAAATTATTTTAAATGAAAGAGAGTAACACGTGAGGACAGATTGAGAGAATTCAAATCTTTGAGCCCAAGTATAAAATGAGAGCGATGCTGAGAACATTTCCAGAGCTCTTTCCAACTTTAAAATTCTAGAAAATTGTTGACCTTGCTACATCTGCCTATTATTTGGTCTGCAGCGTGCATCCTAGTGGGTATATTTATGAATCAGGTCTCTTATGTGTCGGAATTGACTCGATGGCAGTGGGTTACTCTTACCAAAGAAAGGTAACAAACACTATTGCATTTGTTTTCTGTATTGCAGCAACTTTTGATTAAAAATTTTTATTTATTTTTATTATATATTAAGTCTAGTTTATTGTTTGATAAAATTAGGCCTATTACCAGAAGGAGGTGCAGTCTGCTAAGCAAAAGTCAGAATTAAATTGAGAAATAGGTTGGGATTTGTTATCCTTGAATATGAAATCGTAAGAGTAAAGTCCGACACACCTCCATTCTCGCTACCCAGGTGCTTTTCTTTGCATTACTACCAATGGGGCTAAGAAATGCTGTGCTTCTGCTTCCGGTGCACCTTCTCCACTGTCAGTATGCAGACAGAAGGCCACTCTGCCATGGCAGTAGCGTCTGAGAGGTTGTTGCCTATGAAAGTAATGTTAGGGACTGGCATAGAATTCCCTCAACCCCAGGCTCTTTGTCTGCCTGGACCCTTTCCTCAGCTAGAACGTCTTGCCACCTTGGTGTGGAATGGGCACAGTGTGTAGTGCAGTGAGTGTGCACCTGGGCTGGATTGCAGAGAAGGAATGGCATGTTGGCATTTGAAGACCTGTGAGTTCTACCACCACCACTTCTCACTTGTGTTTAACTGTGGGCCAACTGGGCAGGCTGCTGGCTTCCATGAGCCTTGGTTTTCTCATTTCTTAAGCCTACTACAGGGCTTTTTCTTTTTTCTTTTTTTTGGTTAAGAAATACTACATGGAAGAATATTAAACAAAAGCATGTGAAGTATCATACAAATGTGAGTTTTCTTTTTAAAAATTAGTTACACAGGCCGCCAAAAAACAGCTCCCATTTTAAGACTTGTATGGTCGTGAGTAGACAAATGGGACTTCAAAAATGGATTTTTACTTTTTGGCAAGTTTGTTTCCAGTGCAGTTGGGATTTCATTCTTACTACATTCTTATAAATTCTTACATAATTTCTCTGTTATATTTAATGATCATGTCCTAGCCCTCCAATAGATACTTGTGGGGAAATAAAGTAAATTTCTTTTCAATTTGGTATTTTACAGTTGAGAGTTCATTCCTTGGTATAGAAAACACTTTCGGAAATATAAAGCAATGGTATTCGAGACCTGATTTGAATAGTTAGAAGCCTACTTCAGTATTTTTTCATCATTTAGACTAAAAGAACTATGGAGTTAGTGTTATTTATTTGAATTGTAAAAATGCTTTTGTCTCAGAAGTCTGAAAACATATACTAATTTTATATTACATCTGCCATTAAATCAATTTATTGCTTATATTTTTATATTAAATAGAAGTAGTACAAAATAATCTTTCAGTGACTTGTTCTTGTCTTCCAGTGAGGATGAACTGGAAGAAACAAACGGAAATAACCCCATTGACATTGAGGTTGATCAAAACAAGGAAAGCAAAAAGGAGGTATTTTTTTCTGTATTGTTTAGATGAAGTAAATCATTCCGCTTACTCATTCTACTTAGTATCTTAAGTGCTCTCTACAAGGGATTGTGATATCGCTTTTTAAACAGTACTGACTTGGCTTTGGAGTTCTTGGGTGGTGCAGATGGTTAACACACTATCAGATGGCGGTTCACGTCCACCCAGAGGTGCCTCGGAAGATAGGCCTGGTGATCTACTTCAAAAAAATCAGCCACTGAAAACCCTATGAAGCAGAGTTCTACTCTGACGCACATTGGGTTGCCCCGAGTCAGAATCAGCTTGATGGCAACTAGACAAACTTTGCTTTAGAATTTTGTTTACCAAAAAAGATTAGTAACAGAAGCCTCAAAGAAAAAAATTGCATTAATGACAGTGAGTAAAGACTTTGCCTAGGTAGGTAGCAGAGCTAACTGCTTTCTTTCTTAAGCCTTTAGCTCAGCAGGTTAGAAAGTGGTGCTAGTGAGGCCTGGCTACAGGTATCTCCACAAGAACCAGGTTGGCCCCTCTCTGGGCCCTCTGGGATCTGCAGGGATCTGAGGTGACTGCAGGGGCTGGCAGGTTCAGTGCAGGCCTCTTGTTACTCAGAAATAACAGTGAATGTCAAAGGACAGCCAGGACCATCACCTCACACATGGTGAATTTTTAATCTCTCACATCTTAAAAATCATTACGTAAGACATTTTAAAAAATTTTTTTAAAATTTATTTTGTTGTTGTTGAGAATATACACAGCAAAACATATACCAATTCAACAGTTTCTACATGTACAATTCAGTGACACTGATTACATTCTTCAAGTTGTACAACCATCTTCATCTTCCTTTTCTGAATTGTTCCCCCTATTAACGTAAAGTCACTGCCCCCTAAGGTTCCTGTCTAATCTTTCGAGTTGCCCTTGTTAGTTTGATCCCGTATAGGTAGTTCTTAAAAGAGCATAATGCGTAAGGTAGACATTCTTTACTAGTTAAGCTGAACTGTTGTTTGGTTTTAAGAAGCTGTTGGGATATTTTTCTTTTACGGTTTAAAGATTATCTCAGGGCAATAGTTTCAGGGGTTAATCCATCCTCCATGGCTTCAGAAAGTCTGGAGTTCATGAGACTTTGAAATTCTGTTCTGTGTTTTCCCCCTTTTGATCAGGATTCTTCTCTAGAATCTTTGATCGAAATGTTCAGTAATGGTAGCCAGGCACCATCCAGTTCTTCTGGTCTCATAGCAAAGGTGGCAGTTGTTCATGGAGGCAGTTAGCCACACATTCCAGATCCTCCTCCTATTCCTGACTCTCCTTCTTCCTCTGTTGCTCAGGCTACACAGAGACTTTTTTTAATCTCCAAATTGAAGGGACGCATGAATCCCTATGTATACAAATACATGTATACGACTTTTACATGTATTTGCAAAAGTATTTTTCTGAAGATGGTGTGTAGTTTCAGTAAAATTCTCACAGGATTCTCTGTCCCCCACAGTATGAGAACAGCTATTCTAGACCTGAAAAAGACAAACAAATCTAAACATATTTAAACTTTAAAATTACATCAGTAATACATACTTTTTATAGACAAGTAGGAAATGCAGCTAAATAAGAATTAAAATCATTTATAATATTATCACCCATAACCGCTGTTATAGTGACTGTCTTTCCACTCTGTCTTGCCTGTAAAATGTATATGCATATGTACATAATTCTGACTCCATACTCACTTCTTAAAAATATAAACGGGAAAGTGGTAACTTCGGTGAAGGGAAGGTTAAGACAATACACAATACTGGGGAAGCCAGCACAACTTGTACAAGGCAAGGTCATGGAAGCTCTGTAGACATACCCAAACTCCCTGAGGGACCAAATTGCTGGGCGGAGGGCTGTGGGGACCAAGGTCTCGGGGAACATCTAGCTCAGTTGGCATAACATAGTTTATAAAGACAATGTTCTACATTCTGCCTTGGTGAGTAGTGTCTGGGTTCTTAAAAGCCTGTGAGCAGCCATCTAAGATACTTCACTGGTCTCACCCCTTTGGGAGCAAGCAAGGGAAAATGAAGAAAACAAGATACAAGGAAAAGATTAATTCATAGGACTAATGGACCACAACTACCATGGCCTCTACCAGACTGAGTCTAATACAACTAGAAGGTGCCTGGCTACCACCACTGACTGCCCTGACAGGGATCACAACAGAGGGTCCCGGACAGAGCTGGAGAAAAATGTAGAACAAAAGTCTAACTCACAAAAAAAGACCAGACTTACTGGCCTGACAGAGACTGGAGAAACCCCGAGAGTATGGCCCCTGGACACCCTTTTATCTCAGTAATGAAGTCACTCCTTAGGTTCACCCTTCAGCCAAAGACTTGACAGGCCCATAAAACAAAATGGGACTAATGGGGCACAGCAGCCCAGGGACAAGGACTAGAAGGCAGGAGGGGACAGGAAAGCTGGTAATAGGGAACCCAAGGTCGAGAAGGGAGAGTGTTGAATGTTGTAGGGTTGTTAACCAATGTCGTAAAACGATATCTGTACTAACTGTTTAATGAGAAACTATTTGTTCTGTAAACCTTCATCTAAAGTCAATAAAAAAATTAAAAATATATATAAATGGGATCTTAATATATCATGTTTTGTAGCCTTTTACATTTATTTTACCTTGAATGTATTTTTATGTCAAATATATTTTTATACATAGATACATATGATTTCATCATACAGATCTACCATAACTAAGTTAAGAAATCCTGTATGGATTTCTGTGCTTTTTTCCCCCCTGATTTTTATAAACAATGCTGAAATGATCTCGTAACTAAATAATCTGTACACTGAATAGAATTATTTTTTGGAAGTTGAGTAGTTAGGTCAAAGTGTGCTGTATACATTTTTAAAGCTTCTTGGATTACATATCACCAGTTGGAGACTGGTAACCTTTTCTGAATGGCACTCTTGCCAGTGGTCTATGTTGTTATCGCTGTCGCGTCGGCTCCCACTTATGATCACCTTAGGTGTAACAGGACGACACATTGCCCAGTCCTGTGCCATTTCATGATCGTATGTTTTGATGGTGGGTATGAGTCCACTGTGGCTGTTGTGTCAGTTCATCTTAAGGAGGGTTTCCCTAGTTTTTGCTGACACTCTACTTTACCAAATATGATGTCCTTTTTTAGTGATTCTTCTTTCCTGATTGTGTGTCCAGAGTAAGTGAGCCAAATCTTGCCATCCTCGCTTCTAAGGAGCAGGCTGCTTTTATTTCTTCTAAGACTGATTTGTTCATTCATCTGAAAGTTCATGGTATATTCAGTATTCTTTGCCAACACCACAGTTCAATGCATTAATTCTTCTATCTTGCTTTTTCATTGTCCAGCTTTTGCATGCATATGGGGCAGTTGAAAATACCATGGCTTGGGTCAGGTGCATCTTAGTCATCAAAGTGACTTCTTTGCTTTTTAACACTTTAAAGAGTTCTTTTGCAGCAGATTTGCCCAATGCAATGTGTCATTTGATTTCTTGACTGCTGCTTCCATGAGTATTGATTTTGGATCCAAGCAGGCTCCTTGACAGCTTCAGTTTTTCTTCCATTTATCATAATGTTGTTTATCTGTCCAGTTGTGAGGATTTTCATTTTCTTTATGTTGAGGTATAATCCATACTGAAGGCTGTAGTCTTTGATCTTCATCAGTAAGTGCTTCAAGTCCTCTTCACTTTCTGCAGGCAAGATTGTGTCATCTGCATATCACAAGTTATTAATGATTCTTCCTCCAATCCTGATGCCTTGTTCTTCTTCATATAGTCCAGCATCTCTGATTATTTGCTCAGCATAGAGATTGAATAAGTATGGTGAAAGGATACAAGTCTGAGTCACACTTTTCCTGATTTTAAACCACACAGTATCCCCTTGTACTGTTCAAACAACTGCCTCTTGGTCTGTGTACAGGTTCCACGTGAGCACAATTAAGTGTTGTGGATTTTATTGCCTTTTATTTCTGAAGGTTTCGCTTTTAAAAAAATTAGCAGTTATCTATTTAAAAATAATAGCATATAGTTTTTTGAAGCAAGTTGTACAAGTTGCCCTAAAAGTTAAGTGCTACCCAAACAGGAGAGGTGTGTAAGAAGTCGTCGTTCCGTGTTGAGGTCTGTGTTTCTCAATGAGGAGATTTAAAGGATTGCTGTGGCTCTTTATACACGTGCTGGGACATAGTTTTCTTTCAGTGGCCATGTGTCCATCTATGTTGCTAGGGACTGTTAGGATAAAATAGCTCTGTATTCTTAAAAACAATAAAAACCTTACAGGGCCACAAACCTTACTAGAGGGAAATACTGAATTTTTTTTTTCCTTCTGGTATTACTGCGGCAAGTTGAGAACGTACTGTGCCCTGAAAGAATTCTTACTGTAAGAGGCTTAAAGTGATAGAATAAGCATGTATCTTTTACAAGAGGGAAATGGAATCCACTTTGAAGTGTTTAGTCAAAATGCAATAGGCAATGTTTTGCCTGTTAACTGCCTGTTACAATTTGTAGGTTGATAATTATGGTATGGTATGGTATTTGTCTTACATTGTGTGTAGTCATGTTAAGGAAATATGCTTATTACTGTTCCTTTGACATTAAGTTTTATTTTTGAAGATTCTGATTAGTCAAATGTGTATCATGCAGGTACCGCCAACTGAGACAGTTCCTCAGGTCAAAAAAGAAAAACATAGCACACAAGCTAAAAATAGAGCAAAAAGGAAACCTCCGAAAGGAATGTTTCTTTCTCAGGAAGATGTGGAGGCTGTTTCTGCTAATGCCACTGCTGCAACCACGGTGCTGAGACAACTAGATATGGAATTGGTTTCAATCAAACGACAGGTAGGTGCCTGTCAGCCCAGTCCTGGGTAGAATGATTAACCAGCACTTTGGAGGCGTTTGTATTTACACACACAGATGTATGTTCTCATGCCACAGTTTCAGAGGGCCACTTTGTTTCTAAGGAATTAATAGAAGATTATTGGGTTCTGGTCCATTGTTTTTGCTTTTTGAATTAACCTAAAATTGAAGTATTTCAATTAAAGTATACATATATATATATATATATGTATATATGTGTATATAACTCAAGGATATTTTACAAAGTGGATGTATCCAAATAACCGCCATTTAAAGCAAGAAACGGAATGTTGCCCCCAAAGCTCCCCTCATTCTCCCCTCATCATTATTCTCCTCAAGAAATGCAGCATTGCTTCAGAAGCCCCACTCAACACCCCCCTCCATTTGCTCTCAGTGCCAAAAACCAAACCAGTTGCCTTTAAGTTGATTCCACCTCATAGCCATCCTATGTAGAAACGGACCGTTACTTTTTATCTGACTGCATAATACATTTAAACGGAAAATTAAACCTAATAGGCTAGTATTGTCCTTTTGTTAGTGTCCTCTCTCCCTTCTTCCCTCTGGAATTCAAAGCAAGCTGTGGATTGATGGTTTACTCTTGGGTTTTGCTGTTGCCTTGTTTGTTGATCTTGATGGTTCCTTGGAAGGTTAAATTGGAGGCCAACTATCATTTCACAGTTGAGAAGAATGAGGCCTGTGGCCCTGTCTTAGTTCAGCTTTCAGAAGGCAGCACAGACTAAAACCAAAAAAGAAAAAACCAAACCCGTTGCTATCGAGTCAGTTCCAACTCATAGTGACCCTATAGGACAAAGTAGAACTGCCCCATAGAGTTTACAAGGAGCGCCTGGTAGATTCGAACTGCTGACCTTTTGGTTAGCAGCCATAGCCCTTAACTACTACGCTACCACCACAGAATCAGACGGTCTGCATCTTAGCTTGCCTCCTGGCACAGCTACACTCTAATCTTGAGAATCGCTTGATCTTTCTAGGCCCTTTTAAAATGCAGAAATTAATCCTTGCTGCCTGATCACACAGGACAGGAGGGCTGCTGTGGGTGAGAGCACAGTTTAAGCTCTGTTCACGCTGGAAGAGCTCAGATGGAGATGTGAGCTCTAGCCCACATTTCTGTCTTCCTCGTTTCCCCCTCTGCTAAGCGAGCTCCTCGTGCTTGCTGTTTGATGTTAATATGTCCCGGAAAGAAAGGGGAGCCCCTTCATGCATGACGTGTTACTAGCTCTGTAGTATGGAGGTGTTATGGCTCTGTAGTGTGGTAGGTAAAAGAGTCTTTGGTTTTCAGAGCAGGAATTTTTTATTTGATGGTAGCTATTCAAAGTTCACATTAATAGAGAGGGTTTAGGGTCTAACTTACTAAGAAACGAGTTGGGATTGTTTCTTTCCACAACATTTCAGGGCTGCATTGGAGCAGTGAGTTCACTGCCAAGTGTACTTCTAGACTCAACATGGCTGTCAGTCACATAGTGGGCATTTTATTCTGGATGCCCGCACTTTTGGTGGTGTGTCAGTTAGGAGAATGTTTGCCTCAAAATAACAGAAAACCTGATTAACAACAACTTACACAGTTAAGGTCTATTTTTCTCACCTAACGAGAAGTGCTGGCATCGGCGGTTGCTAGCATTAGTTTATGTGTTCAGTGATCCTCTCAGGGACCCAGGCTCTTTCCTTTTTTCCACTCCACCATCCTTAGCCTATTGGCTTTCCAGCTTAATTGTTACCTCGTGTTTGAAGCTGCAGAAGCCATTTTGCAACCATCACATCTGCATTCAGGGCAGTAAGAAGAGGAGACGGAGGTGGAGCTAATCCATCTGTCCCCTCTATCAGGAAAAGCAGCAGCCTTACCAGAAACTCCTGGCAGACTTCTGCACACGACTTCCTGGCAGAGCTTTGCAATATGGCTCCTCCTTGCTTCCAGGGATGCTGTCCGTCTCTAGAGAAGGAAGATACAAGTGAGAAGGGAGCTAGGAATATCTGTTAGATTGGCCGGCAGACAGTACCTGCTGCATTAGATCTTTCTCTGAGTGGAGAGTGAAAAGGTCTGACGTTAGATGCCATTAGAGAAAAATCGCTGTGCATATAATAAAGTAGAAGAAAGAAAAGTCCCGTTCGATTGGGAGATCCTAGGTAAGGCACCAGACCAAGAAGAATGCCTTCTTTTTTTTTTTTTTTTTTTAAATGCTGATTACTTTTGTATCCTAGCTCTTTGCCAGCTTAATGCCACTCTGACTTCCTTTCCAAATGGCATGATGTTGGCAACTAGCCCCTGCTTTTATTCTGATTAGTAAATACTGGATCTTTCTGATACAGAAAATGCATCAGAAGAGAGATGCAGGTTGATGAGAATGTAGAAGCTACCTTTTGGTTCAGAATTTGTGCATGTTTTGCCTTGTAGCCTGTCTTAGTCATTTAGTGCTGGTATAACAGAAATACCACAAGTGGATGGCTTTTACAGAGAGAAATTTATTTCTTCACAGTAAAGTAGACTAAAAGTCCAAATTCAGGGCATCAGCTCCAGGGGAAGGCTTTCTCTCTTTCTGTCAGCCTTTTCATCAATCTTCCCCTAGACTGGGAGCTTCTCCCCGCAGGGACCCCAGGTCCAAAGGATGCGCTGTGCTCCCACCACTGCTTTCTTGATGGAATGAGGTCCCCACCTCTCCGCTTGCTTCCCTTTTCCTTTTATCTCTTGTAAGATAAAAGGTGGTGCAGGCTACACCCCAGGGAAACTTGTGACCTTAGTAAGGGTGTTACAATCCCATCCTAATCCTCTTTAACATAAAATTACAATCACAAAATGGAGGACAACCACACAATACTGGGAATCAAGGCCCAGCCGAACTGATGTACACTTTTTTAGGGGGACATAATTCATGACATAGCCATTCATTTAATCTCTGTCCTGCTTCATTGATTTAAGGCAGAAAATGCATGTGTTAAACATGCATGTTTATCTGCTTGGAAAATGCATGTTGCTTAATCACAGGGGAAGAAATCCATTTTGTACCTTATATGAACAGTGACTAGAGTAACCCATCTGTCTTAATCATCTAGTGCTGCTATAACAGAAATACCACAAGTGGATGGCTTTAACAAAGAGAAGTTTATTCTCTCACAGTCCAGTAGGCTACAAGTCCAAATTCAGCACGTCAGCTCCAGGAGAAGGCTTTCTCTCTCTGTTGGCTCTGGAGGAAGGTCCTTGTGATGCGTCAGTCTTCCTTTGGTCTGGGAGCATCTCAGCGCAGAAACCTTAGGTCCAAAGGACGTGCTCTGCTCCTGACACTGCTTTCTTGGTGGTATGAGGTTCCCATGTGTCTCTGCTCGCTTCTCTCTCTCATATCTCAAAAGAGATTGTCTTACGACACTATCCAATCTTGTATACCTCATCAGTATAGCCTCATCATAGCGATAGAGTTTATAACACATAAGGAAATCACATCATACTACAGTCATACAATACTGGGAATCATGACCTAGCCAAGTTGACAGATGTTTTTGGGGGACACAATTCAGTCCATGACGACCATCTAACTGTAATGCGAGGAGGCTTACTTGCAGTACCTTAGACGCCTGACGTTTGAGGATTGGCTTATTTCCTGTTGGAGGTTTCTAAGTCTGCTGAACGCTTTGTAGTATTGTCTGGGCTGTTGGCACATGAAAGAGCACAGGGTGAAAGTCTTGAAGATTCACAGGCCATACCAGCAGCCACATAAGACTATTTAAATCTAAATTTAGGTGAATTAAAATTGGAAAAACTAAGAAGTCAGTTCCTCAGTCACATTAGTCACTTAGCAACAGGTGGCTAAGTGCTCAGTAGCAACATGTGGCTAGTGACTACCATTTGGACAGCACAGCTTTAGAATATTTCTGTCGTTGCAGAAAGTTTCTTTGGGCAGTGTGGGTCTAAGAGCTTGGCATTGATTTCCTGAGAATTTACTGTTGAGTAAATTTTAAATTAAAACAGATTTCACTAACTTGAGGTACCCATTTATACTTTTACTGTAAATTTTGTGCACATCTCCTGTATTTATCTTTTCAGTTGTCTTTATGCTCTCATTTGAGAGTAGTACAAAAAGATAAGGAGTGTGCTGTATTTCTGGTAGATTCTGAAGCCCTTACTAATGGTAAACAGTCAGAGTCTGATCCTTAAAGTGTTACTGGTTCTTGTTTACTTGGTTGCTGGCCCAACAGCATGGGTAATCTTCACCCTGGCCCAGCTTCACCTTTTAAACCTTTTCACAGAAGTAAAACATAGGATAGATATGTGAAACTGGAGTTCTGTGACGTGTAAGCACTTGGAGAAAAATCCAACCCTGGGATTCTTTTAACATTGTAAAAGTTTTCAAAATGAGGCTAGGAGCAAAAATTATTAAGGAATATCCAAATGGTGGTCTTCCCACTGTGCCCGCACTCCTTTCTCACCCCTCCTGTTATGGATTGAATTGTGTCCCACAAAAATGTGTGTCAGCTTGGCTAGGTCATGATTCCCAGTTTTGTGTGATTGTCCACCATTTCGTCATGTGATGTGATTTTCCTCTGTGTTGTAAATCCTACCTCTGTGATGTTAATGAGATGGGATTAGAGGCAGTTATGTTAATGAGGCAGGACTCAATCTATAAGATTAGGTTTTATCTTGAGTCAGTCTCATTTGAGATATAAAAGAAGCAAGCAGAGAGGCAGCGGGACCTCATTCTACCAAGAAAAGTAGTGCCAGGAGCAGAGCATGTCCTTTGGACCTGGGTTCCCTGTGCTGAGAAGCTCCTCGACTGGGGAAGATTGATGACAAGGACCTTCCTCCAGAGCCAACAGAGAAGGAAAGCCTGCAACTGGAACTGACGCCCTGAATTCAGACTTCTAGCTTACTAGGCTGTGAGAGAATAAACTTAGGTTTGTTGAAGCCGTCCACTTGTGGTATTTCTGTTACAGCAACACTAGGTAACTAAGACAGCTCCCCCACCTCTAAAGTCCTGCTTTTCTTTGCCTTGATAGATTTCTTCTGTGAGGGACACTTTCTACTCATGAGTGTCTTTGATGTTTTACTTGGGAAAACCAACTGATATTCCCTGTGCTTTCTGTTTGTTTGTGATTACTGGAAAATGACAAATGCTGGAGTCAAAGTTGTTCTAGTGCATCTTAGAGCTTAGAGCTGAGAGAAAAGGGAGTGCCTCTGTGACCAGCTTGTTCAGGAGCCCATGGCAGCGGGGAGGGAAGGCTCAGCCGTGGGTGGGTTGGTGTCGTTCGTGTCTTTCTTTTGATTAGGCGAGGGCAGTGAGAGATTAAAGGCATTGAGTCACAGCAATAATGTGGGAAAAGATAATTTGTGAGAAAAGGGAAACAGTTATAGTTGATCCAGGTCAGGCTTGTGGTAAATCCACTGGCATGCTGCTTTCCGTTTTTCTCCCCATTATAAGTCTGCCCACAGGCATTTCTGCCCTGTGTAGAACCAGTGCCGCCTGGGCCTGGACACACAGTGCTGGGACTCAGTGAGGCCGTCCCTGTGGTTCTGCTGTAAACACTGGTCTCTGTGGAGATCACGTGCCTCTTCTGCCTTCTGTGGCTGCTCTGTTAACTCCAGTTCTGTGGTGTTGGAAGCCCAGACATCTCCACTGTCTGTGTGTCAGACTCCCAAGTACACAGCTGCTTGCTGGTCAGGTGATCACTTCAAACAGTGGATTACGACTGTGCAAAGCTTTTTCACCACCACCCCCTTCTTCCGCCGTCCTTGTCTGTTTGCTCTAAGGAAGCCAGTCAAAGAATCTAGTATGTGCTCTCAAAAGGTAATACAGAGGTCTTAAATTTTGTCTATGAAAGAAGTCAGGAACTTATTTGCTCTTGGTTTTTTGTTTGTTTGTTTGCTGTTTTTTTCATACCTTTATAAAAGTTTTTCATTTTTAAAATCTTTTCTCTTTCTTAGATTCAGAATATTAAACAGACGAACAGTGCGCTTAAAGAGAAACTTGATGGTGGAATAGAACCGTATCGACTTCCGGAGGTAGGATTATGTTAACATCACCTCAGAAGTCATCCAGGTTTTACGTGTTCAAGAATTTGGTATCTGTGTAATGCATCTCCAGTATACATCTCTTAGAAAGAAGGGCATAGATATAATTTTATAAACCTAGTTTAGATTAACGTTCTAATATGAAAAAAAGATTCATTCAGCCGTCATATGGACATAGTCATCTCTAAACGTAATGTGCTAATATGAGTTATTTGGATATGTAGGTCGTTCAGAAATTTAATGCACGTTGGACCACAGAAGAGCAACTTCTCGCCGTACAAGGTATGGGAAAAATTCTCTTTAGACCAGTTGAGCAGCAATGGTAGTTTTTAGGGAAAAGGTATGCCCTGCCCTGTTCTCAGCCCATCATTTGTGTTGAAACAGATTGTTGGAGGCTTATATTCTTCCAAGTGTACATTTTAGCCCAACTACCACGTTACCTTTGGGCTTTCCCTTTTATTTTGCTTTCTCGTGGCTCACAAGTCATACAGATTAACTCGGGAGCCTTGGTTTCTAAGGTGTATTTCATTTTAGCAGTTGCTTGTTCAGCTCTGAAGAGTGAGCAAGAACAAAACCCTGAAAGAAGCAGATACGGAGTGTTAAGATTATGAGGTCGGGGCTGTTCTGGACCTGGGGAGCCTGGAAGGGAGGATGCAGTGTGTTCAGAGCTGTAGGGTAATTGTCGACGACTTCAGTTGTCCTGTGGTGCATGATGGGAAGGTATCGATTTCTCGACGACAGGTTCATCCTGAACTTCTTTGCTCCATCATCTGTAGGATATGTCTAGAACAGCCTACTGCTTCTTTCCACTGGTATAATACACTAAGATAGTGCCTGCTATTAAAAGCTTATATGTTTATTATCTGGATAAGGGGTAAGTCTCAGTTGTGTTTTTTTTAAAAATTGTTTTTCTTTTGTATTGAAAAAAAATGCTCTCTTCCATCCTTAGCCATCAGGAAATATGGCCGAGATTTTCAGGCAATCTCAGATGTGATTGGGAACAAATCAGTGGTACAAGTGAAAAACTTTTTTGTAAATTATCGACGCCGCTTCAACATAGATGAAGTTTTACAAGAATGGGAGGCAGAACATGGCAAAGAAGAGACCAATGGCCCAAGTAACCAGAAACCTGTAAAGTCCCCGGATAATTCTATTAAGATGCCTGAAGAGGAAGACGAGGTAAATCTGAAACAACACAATCTCTTCTCTGCCAGGTTCATGACTCGCTATTCCAGTTAGTTTCTACATGGATGACCCTTTCAGCTGTAGAAATATCTTTAGGTTTTAGCTATGTTGTTAGCTTGATTTTTACCTGTAAATACCGTAATATGTGTGTTAACTCAGTTCTTGGTCACTACGTATATTATTCACATTTCAATGTCTAGGTAAATTCTTAATTCCATCCTGGTTTTCCCCAGCCACAAAAGAGTCCACGTTACCGTCATCTCCTTAAATATGGTAAAAATTCTGCCATAAAACAATAGGCCAGGTGGGAAGTGTCAGAAAAAAGCCCAGTCATGTAAAATATGAGTTTACTAGGTGAATCTACACAGCTAGCCAGCTGGCGCTCCGGGGACCCATCTCTGCTCGACAGCTCTCCCAGCCTTTGATGCTGCTGGGGACTAACTGGCTTCAGTATTGATGGGGACAGTTCCGGGTCCTGTGACTGACTGGGACTTCAGGACAGTGGCTGACATTGTAGTAATCTCCAGGACAGTGGCTCCAATGTCATCAGCCCAATCAGCAGAGATTAAGCAAGAAGATTACTGAGGCTGCAGGGACCCATCTGCTATCTCCCTGCTTCCTGTGACAGGGTTGTTTGCCATTTTGTCATCTATCCCAACCTTCCCTATTACATACCCCCCACCCCACCCGCACTTCCTGCAGAATGAGAGAATGGAGGCTGGGCATAGGCAAGAGTTAATCACCAATCACTGTACGTCTGAATTTGTTCAGTGACATGGTCATTTAAGCAGTAACTTAAGCTTTATAAGGAAAGTCGCTTTCTCATCAAAGTGTTCCCCAAACCATGCAGGAATGATTGAGCATGGGAGTGCCCCGTAAGGAAGATGGCATCCCTCTCCCTGCAGTGCCTCTGTGCCAGTTAGGAGAGGGCCTCGAGCACTTTACTTCCATCTGTCAGAAAAGTGTTGGCATGGATTAATTTTGTTAGATTGGAGACTTTAGAGCCTTCTACCAGAATAGCTTTGTGATAAGTGTACAGAATCTATACTATTGACAATGTGAGAGGTGCCCCTGTGCCTTCCCCCCACCCAATGCCTGGCCCAGCCTGAGACCCGTAAACATAAGAGCAAAATGAACGTGTTTTCATCTGTTGGCACTGATTTTGTTCCAGTGCTGATTACTTCTTTAGCAACAAATTAACTTCCCCAAAGTCCTGGACTTCATCTAGGAAGCATTGAAGCTATGGGGATTCCTGGGGAAGGAACATCAGAATTTGCAAAAAATGAACACTTTCTTCCGTGCATGTTTTCAGCTTCAGTCCCAGGGTTCCTAGAAGCAGAAATAAGAAGAAACTGGCCATATGCCCTCGTCAGATTTAGTCAAAACTGGTGTTAGTGGGTAGGGCTGATGTGAAAAGTCTGATAGTGAATTTGAGACCAAAGTCGTCACCTTTCCTTTATGTGTACGTTTCTTCTCTCTCTTCTGCCTGGTTCATGTATGGCAGACTCAGATGCGTCTGTTCTTTTTTCTTCCTTTATTATTAGTTCAGAAGGTCTGTCCTTACTGTTGGGGTCCACTTACCAAGTTGATTGCACATCAGAATACCCGTATGATGTTCTTTACCCAGTCTTGTAGTGTTGGGTCATCCATAACTAGTCCTCCCACCGAGCAGCAGATCTTAGTTGTCTTCCACCCTTCTCTTCGAAAAGAACAGGAGATAAGTCGGATGGTATTATCTAACTCGTCTTTAATGTGCACTCTATATTCCCTTTATAAAGTTTCCACCCTTTTAGTCATTTAAAACACACACACACATTCACAGTCCTCTGTTTCCTTTAGTTCTTTTTATTGCTTCTTACAGCACCAGCTCCCCCCTCCACCTGCCAGGTTTTCTGTTCTCCATGTGTTAGTTTGCAGAAGGAAATCAGTCTGTAACGAGCAGCTGCTTCTCCGTGTCCACCAAGGGCCTAAGGGAACTTGTTAGAGAGCTGGTTAATTGTCTTTCTGGGCAGTGCTCAGAAGTTGGTGTTCTTGGAACTTCGCATTCCTGTGTATCCCGTGGTTCCAACAGCTGAGAGAGATGTGGGCTGGTGGCTTGTCTGCCCCCTCTGCCTTTACGCAGTACGAATAGGGAGGAGAAGGAGCATCAGAACTGCCATACAGTACATTCTGTTAACATGATGGTCTGTCAGTTACAGACCTCAAGGAGTAAGTCTGTTTCCTTTAGGGCTAAGATGGGTCGTAGCCCAAGGGGTTTGAGCTTTTGAGACTCCAAGTTCTCTGAGGTCACCAAGTACGGGGTACCACATAGGGTGGGGTCACATCCAACCTCACACTCAAGAAAGGACGGTGGAGTTAACTAAAAATGACAAGAGTAGAGAGAAAGAGACTTACTTGAAATAATGAGATGACTGAAGATTGTCAGCGAGTAGACATCTCCTGACCTAACGAACAACAGTTGCAGTCGGTTGTGACTTCAATGGGAGGAACAGCTGTCTTCAGATTGTTGTCCCCTGGTGGTCTCCCCCGTGAGGGTATGTGTTGGTGCTCACAGAAACTTTAGATTTGGGTCTGGGAGTCAGGCTGTGAAAAGTGCGGTGGGGAGTAAAGGAAGTGCTTTTGAACCTTTAAAGAAAACCCTGCATTCTTTTGTGTCTTTGTATCTCTGACCCAGCAGGAGCCAGAGGCTCTTCGTTGAGTGGGGTGGCTGTCACAGCATCCCCTCTAGCCAGCGCGAGTGGTCATGATTGCTACATACCTTGAACATTATTGTTTGTCAAATTCTGTTCTAACGTGCCACTTACAGATCTTTTCATTTCATCCTGTGACATAGGTGTCATTATTATGTGTGTCCTGCAGATAAGGAAACTGAGGCTCAAAAAGAAAAGATACTTGTCCAAGGTTACACAGCAAGAAAGTGGTGGAGCCAGGATTGGAGCCCTAGACACCTGGCTGTAGAGGCCTTGCTCCCGCCCTGCCCCGTGCCTGTCTTGCTTGGCGCAGCCGTCGCCACAGGCCCTGCCCTTAGGAACGTGTGGGTTCGCAGGACACTGGGTTTGCAGCAGAGATGTTGAGGCGTGTGCCCGCCCTCCCTCTTTCAGTATGCCAGAGTTAGCAGTTTGTATTGTTTACCTGCTCTCTTTGATTCTCTTTTTTCTTCTCCTCAGGCTGCTTCTGTTCTCGACGTTAGATATGCATCTGCCTCCTGAGACCCTCTGGTAGCTTTGAACACTTGGGGTAGACTACTGCATTATCAGGATATCAGGTATTACTGGACATCACCTAGCCATCTGCATCACATCTCTGTGGACAAGCAGCTATTACCAAAAAAGGCATATACTTCAGTCCTGTGCTACACCTGCCTTAATTCTTTGCTCGTTCCTCCATGTTGGCACCACTTCCCAGAGAGCTCCACGTGTCTCTCACATTCTGCCTCAGTGCTGGGAAGGCCTCCTGTGACTTGGGGTGCACCTCCTCAGCTGGACCCCCGAGCTCCACTGACGGCAGCTTTTCCCAGTCAGCAGCTTCGGAACAGGTCGTCAACCCGGAAGGCACGACTCTGTTCCTGCATGGCCTGCGATTTCTACTTTGTGCGTAGTGTAATTTTCAGAGTAACTGTGACCCTGTTGGCCTTCTCGAAAGTATCTCATGTTCTTTTCTGAGGCAGCCACCTGCGTGATATCGTGCTTCTTTGGAAATCACAATACATTGGCAGACTGCATTGTAACCTTTATCGTGCCAAGCATCCTGATACAACTCATGTTTCCCTAAACTTTGGATAGAATTATGGTTTATAAATTTAGTTGGCTTAAATCTCTCCCTTCTCCCTTCCCAAGTGGTAGAAAAGTCGGTCACAGTATCTGTCTTTGGACACTGTAGCTAAAGGGAATGTGAACCTCAAAGCTTTCTACCTTCCTCTTTCAACATTGTAATCCCAGGATGGGCGCCACTTCATCTTTCCTGATCCCACCCCACCCCCACCTCCAAGAGATTCAGTCCAAACCACTGTACCTGGTGCTTGTACATTCGGAATTGGTGCCTTCTCCTTTTGGCAACCATACTATCAGTTGTTTTTCTGTTTTAGTATCTTATTTCTTCTTGAAAGTTTATTGCTTGCCAAAGATGACATCGCTGGAATTAGGAGACAGGGGAGAGCTTGCAGTGGATTCCGGCGGAATGCAGATTGAAATGTCAGCTTAGCTCAGTAAAGGTGTTGATCGCGGGTGATGGTTTTGTAAAAGCTGCCTGTTTTTTGTTCCTGTGCTGTTGGTATGCCTGGCCTTTTCCATGTCAGGCTGCGTATCCTTTTGTGTCCTTCACATACCGACGCGATCACACACACCCCATCTCCTCTCTTTGCAAGTTAGAGGTCAGGGCCGAAAAGTGAACAACTCACTGGTCTAATATAAGACCAAGATGAGCAGAAACAATCTACAAAGTAGGATGTAATGCCTTTTGGTTGGACAAGTAAACATTTCTAGTAAATGTTCCAAGATTTCCAGAATTGTTTTGGTGTCTTTATCGGGCCGTGGGCCTGCTGAGGGATTGAGGACTAGGACTAATTGTCGGACTGCATTCTAAGGTAGCCTCGTCCCTGCCTGAGGTCTGTTCAGCCTGCACTAAATATCAAAGTAGCCTTTTTCCCTTTTTCTGTTGCATCGTTTAGTTAAATACTTTTTTGGTTTTAATACCAAATAGAGAAAAAATGCAGATACTTTAAGGCATAAACAGAATTCTTAAGAATTTAAAATATGCAATTAAAATTTGATGTGTTTTGAATCTCAAGCACGTTGCCTTTTTTTTTAAAAAAAAGAAGTCAGCTGATTTTTTCTTTAGAAAGAGAGTCAGCTAGAAACCTAGGTTGTTTGGAATTGTACTTTTTTTTTTTTTCTTTTCCAGAAAGCTGGAGAAAGGTCATTCAAACGGGGAGTAAATGGACTCTCCCAGCTTTCACAGTCTTGTACCTACACTAGGTGTCTGTTGGTCAAGGAAAAGCATGTGAAGAACAGCAGCAGAGGGGGGCAGAGGGCAATCACAGCCCACTTTTCCTACCTGGAGACAGGTAGCAAAATAACACTAGCAATGACATAGGCTTTTGTTTTTGTTTTTATCTAAGTGTGCTGTGTAATCAAAATGGCAGGAAAACCATGTGAGGAGGAGTGGGATAATTTTTGCACATCGTTTAAAGGGGACACTAAGGCACGAACAGAAGCTTTAGGCTCTCCTTGCCTCTTCTCAAGACCTCCTTCCTACTAACGGGATCAGTAGGCAGTTTGCTGCAGTGGGTTTCCACTCCGCCAGTGGAAGTGTTCCTCTCTTCACACCCAGGCTGTTTTCCTTAAGAATCGATCCCTCCCGGCAGCGCTGGGAAGCTAGATGCGTATTCTCATTTAGCATGGCAAGCAGGCCTGCTGTGCCGGGCCTTTCCCTGTGTTCTGCACGGTCCCCTCACTCGCTCCTGGCACTGGGTGGCCTCCCATCCTGCAGAGTCACTGCTCTGCTAGTGTGCTTGGGAGCACCGCAGTTAGGTTTAGGCTTTCTCTCCAAGGGACATGTCAGTATCGTTTGACAGAAAGAGAAAAGGTGGTTGTCTTTGCCTGACTGCCTTTGTTGTGGTGTCACGCATAAGATAGCACTGTGTTTTAAACTTTTTTCATGACACTGTCTTTGCAATGATGTTGTAAATGCAAGAAATCACCTAGCTTTAAAAGTTAAGTGGTTTGGTCTTATTTCTGTGAAGACCCTTCTTAACATATCAAGAATTAGGTGCATCAGCAGGTAGCGTTTCGGACGTGTGAGGGTCCACAGTGATAACTGCTTAAGGTGGAATGGTCACTTAAGCTGTGTCTTCTTAAAAATTATCAATGTGAATGTCATAATTATATATATTTTTGTGGAAAATTTCTCCTAAGTATAAGTTATTGTGCAAAATATAGTATCATTGAAGCAAATGATAGTTTAACTTTTAGTTTAGAAATCCTAAAAGATATAAATTGTATTGCATATGCATTAAAAGTTTGTTTTATTTAATTTTATGTAGATTCGTAAAGTGTTAGGTAAACATTTTTTTTCACTTACCATTTAAACATCTTGTTACTTGAATATTGTGTTAACTGGTGTGAAGCAGTGATCAATTTTGTACTATAGCGCTTTAACCCCAGGAAGCCCACGCCTCGGTCGTGCTGGTAGATTAGCAGTACGCACAGCTGGGTGCCGGCGGCGGCAGGAGCCGAGGCTGGCGGAGCACGTCTGCTGCGCTGTCTTGGTGAGTTGGACCTGCCGAGATACCAGCTCCTCAAAATGGGTTTTGATAGTTTTTCATCTGTAAGATCCTTTAATGCCCACAAACCTCTAATCAAAAACAAAATGAAAAAACAGTTGAGTTTTAAAAGCTTACTGTGGTGGACTAATTAAGCAGTTGTTTTCTGTGTATATAAAGTTTCCTCAAATACCACACACCACTATAAGTGTGCTCATTGTCACTTTAAATTTCAACTACGCCCTATTTTTGTCTTTCCAAATATCAGATGTACTATTGGTATAATTGCACACCAAAAATAAGCCAAACAGTGCATTACACTAACTGGACCCCTGTTTATGTGAGCGAAGGAGAGATGGGGCCAGCCCAGGGGGGCCTCACCCTCCTCCTGTCCAGCCTGTTTCCAAATCTAGTGGCCCAGGACTCAAGCTTGTCATATCAAGGGAAACTTTGCCTCGGATTGACTCAAGGTAGTTAGCTCCTCTGCTCTAGCGATCTCGTGCAATGCTCGGAAACAGGTCCTCTTCCCACCACTCCTGGATCTCTGCGGCTTTCCCCGGTTACAGTAAAGCACAATGCAGTAAAGTCACAGCTCAGAAGGATGGTCAGTATAGTCTATGCATGTTGTATCATAATGAGTGTTTACAGTCACCTCCTCCTAAAGAGAAACTTTATACTGGAGTGGATAGGATCCCATTATGTAGACTTCTCAACTTTGCTAAGTGCTTTTTAGATTGCTTAAAAATTTTCAAGATTTTAAAAGATGTATAAGGTTAAGTTTGCAAATATAATGGAAATGCTGTATATCTTTTGAAGTGATAAAATCCACGTTGGAATTTTAAAGAAAATATGTTGTAATAATGCTGTTGTAAGTAATATTTTAATGTCTCTTTTTGCCTGTTTTCTATTTCAGCACATTCATTGTGGTGAATGTCAATAGCATTATAATTGCTTAGCCATTGAATGATAACGTTGGTTAGTGGAAATTGGAAAATTTATTTGTGAAATTCTGCAGAATTCATTTTTCTATTTCCAATATTTGCTGAAGTTAAATAAAAATTTTCAAGCCATTGATGTAATAAAATATGAAGGAAAAAAAGACCATTTTCTGCACCCCGTTCTCCATCAAAGCAGTGCCCACCCTGATACAAAGCGGGTTGTTTCTTCCCTTTGCATTGGGTCTTGGGGTTTCTAATGTATCACTTCTGCAGACTTCAGCCCTGTGGAAACACACCAGGAAAGCCTTTTGTTTTTCACCTTTAGCTTAACGTAGAAAGGAGTATACACGACAAGGTCTGCCTTTCAGAAAACTGAACATACACTCCAGGTTACCGCGGTGAGTGTCTCGGGGGGTATACCACAGGCTATGTGAGTGTCTGGGAGGAAGGGCTCCCCGGCTCATGCCTTCTAGGAGTTGATGACTCTCCTAGAGCTAACCCTGGGGGAGGGTGCGGTCTCCTGGGATGAGACCTGCGTGGTGCTTGGGAGTGGAGGTCTGAGGCTCAGTGACCTCAGTGTGGCAGCAAGTGCCAAGGCCAGACCTGGGCTTTCCTGCAGGGAGCCGGAGGAGGAAGGGAGGCTAATGGGAGTCAGTCCAGCAGGGGGATGGCTGGGGGAGGTGACCTGTGCTCAGATGCCACAGGGTTCCTTCTAGGATGGGCTCTGCCTTTGTTGCCTTAGAAGAACAACTTCAGATGAATGCTAAGGGTGGGATGTGGTGGCGTTAAGGAGGTGTTGAGGGAAAGGCCCTTTTAAAGACGGGACAGACTGGCACTTGTGGATAGCCGTAGATTAGAAAGGGTTAGGAGACAAGTTGTGGGGCCTGAAATGAAGGCTGCCTTCCTGGAAGCTAGGAGGAGAGAACCCCTGCGTGCGCACCCCTCGTGCCCCGCCCACGCATCTCCATCCAGCCCCACACAGATACTACTGACTGCACTCCTCTGGTGGGGCCAATGGGAGGCAGGAGCTCAGGCACCTGCAGCCTGGAAGTAGGTGGGGGTGCAGGCTCCTGGGGGCAGCCTTTGGCTAGGGACTTGGGGTGCTCCTCTGCTGTCCTGCAGGCAGCTAGCTGTTCCAGGCAATTCTACAGGGCTCCGCCTCTGCACCACAGCAGTGACCACTTTTCTTCATTCTCCACTCTCACTTCCGAAATCAAGCTGTTTACTCACAGACCCTCATCCTGGTGGAATCTAGGCCAAGACCACACGCACAGGTGAGAAAAATTTCCACATTCCCCACCAGCCCAGTGTAGCTGGGATAACTTCTCTTGAGGGGAGGGATCACCGGCAAACTTCTGCTGCGGGAAGGGAGGGACAGCACCCATGTTGGAATGCCCAGCTTCTAGAGGCTTCCTTCCCATCTTGCACTAAGTGAAGGTTTGCACTAAGAAGAGGAGTAGGCTTTCGGCACTCTGCTAATGTAGCCTCCTGGAATTGTGCTTCCCAGGTGCTGGGTGCCAACTCCTGCAGCAAGCGAGGTGGGCAAAACCTCCCCAGGGGTAGTTTAAAATGTTGAATTGGCAAATGGGTTATACATATATTTTACAACATTTAAACTTGGTGCTGAATTTATTGAATCCCTTCCCAGCAGATTTCAAACCTTGCCTGTCCCTCTCTGCAGCCCTTGGGTGGTCCTGACGTACTCTTTGGTTCTGGGCTGGGTGGAACCAGTCCCCCAGGTAGCCCTCAAGCACACTTTCCCTCTGTCCTGGAAGTAGGAGCAGG